TTATATATTAATTTACTCTTATAAAGACATTATATTATTAATAATGCATAATTTTACCGTTATATAAATAATTAGTGAGAAATAAAAATTAAAACAAAGAGTGGCAGTAAACGACACCCAAAATTTAATATTTTTTGTATTTAATTAAGTATTATTACCGAAGTTGAATTTTATAAATCATTACTTTGTTAGTTATGTTTTAATTTGTTCTCTACTTTAGACATTGTTTTCCTCCTTGAGTAATTTAATTTATTGTAGATCTACCAGCTGTGATTTAATTTAGATGTTGATCGCCCACGTAGAGAGCAGTTTAACAACAGTATTATTCTATCGTTAATTTAAATTAAGTGTGTGGCAACACAATAGACATTGTCCTTAAAAATTTACGAAATAAGGTTATGGTGTAATGATAGTAATGATAATTTTTTTAGTTGTTCATAGTTATACAAAATACTTGTACCGTGAAAATTGGTACAGTAGAATAAAAAAAAATATTTGCTCAGTCGCTCTATTCATTGGACTACCGTTTCATTGAAAAATGACGTTGTTCTTCCATGTTTTATAGTGAATTATTGAGGAAGACACGTCCCTTTTTAATTTTCAAACAATAATTAAAATCTTATTCGATATTGAATTTTCCCCAAACTGTAATCAAATAAAAACGACTAAACAAATAAAATATGATGACATATTTAATTTTGTAACTTTTTCCAGAATAATCCTATTTTTGCTTTAGATTTTCACTTGAAATTTGTCATTCCCTAAAATAACCTTTTTTCAGTCAAAAGCCGTAAAAGCGAATAAAATAATATAAATATATACAAAGTGATTAATTTATTCTGAACCACTTAACAAGTCAAAAAATAAAAAAAAATATTGATCAGTATTTTGAAGGCAAAAGGTAAAACGTGGTTGTTATTTTATCTCCAGTGGTTTTTTAGCTGCACTAATTCCGCCTGTCAAGGTATAAAAATGTCAATAACATCCGAAATACAGATCCAAAAGTCATTATCAACCAGTTATTTTATTAATTATATTATTATCTATTAAATAATCTAGTCGATTACGTATTTACCATTTAAAAAAAATTTGTTGTTACACATATAAGATATAAGGGTGAATATAATAATGTTTCATGATTGATAAACTGAAGAGCTTGTTGCATAACCAGATTTGTAAATAACAAAATTTGTAAATTATAAATTATTAAATTTGTAAATAATTTAATAATATGAACTATTTTAAATTTTTTTAGGAGGAATAATGCGTATCAAAATTTTTTTATTAAAGTAATGGTAAAATATTTTTTCTAAATTAAATATCTCATATGTATGTTACTAATTTAAAAAATTGAATTTCTACCCATATGATATATTTGGAATGAACATGAAAAATGCTTCATGATTAGTAAATTGAAAATAAAAATGTAATTTAAAGAAATCGATACATTATTTTTTTTTTTTTACTAAGTTCTTTGTGATAAATGAATCATCCTGTATTTTTTTTTTTTTATTATACATTTTTTGACCTGTACATATAATTTAATGTGTCCTAATTATATTACTTTTAATGATGTACATTAAAATGTTTGTTGGAATATATTCGTGTATGATGTATTGCATGATAGTTTAAAGGGAGCAATTATTTTAATCATTTTTGCTTATCCCCCTATTGATTTGCTCAGTTTTAATTTGATGGATGGCTCATCCACGTCACGTTATCATAAACGTCAAAAACCAAAATATAGAAAATTGATTGAACATAGCAAGTTTTATGTTATATGCATTGCGTTTAGTTGAGTATATAAATAGAAATAATTTATAATTCTGTCTAAAAAAAGATTATTGAATTATTATTAGTAGTCTGTTTTTTGAGTAAAATATTTTATCTTCTGAATATTTCACTCTTCTAACTAAATATTTTAAAAATCTATTATTTTAAAACAATCTGATAGTCTTGATAACAAATTTTAAATATACAAATTTAATTATATTTTGTTATGTATGTTATGAGCCTTAAGCGCTATTATTATAATTTATTTTATAAAAAACTACAATATTTCAATATTATATTAATATTATAAATATAATTATGTTATATTATAGGCTGTCTTTATGTAAATAAAATATATAAGATATAATAAAACGTAATTTTTGTCATTAAAAAATTGTTCCTGCAGTTTTCAATTTGCTTATATGTATTATACAATCGGAAAATTTGTAACACTAATAAATAGAATTTTATATAATGTCTCCACCATTTTGTATGATACATATAAATATACAAAATATTTATATGTATTCATTCAAATGAACTACAAATAGACGTATCATGAATCTTACGTTTTCCAACAATATTTTCAAATCACCCAAAATTTTTACATGATTAGAGCCGCCTATAGACGACCAAAAAAAGTTTAAACTTAACTTGAGTGAAATTTTAAGTAGGCATGTAATAAAAAAAGACTGTTTATATTGAAAGATTTTTATGACGTTTTTTTAGAAATATATTGATTTTTTTATACTTTATTCTTAATTTTTTTCAAATGCCATACATTTAGTTCTCACTGGGGTGTATTCAAAAACAGAAACATGAACAAAAAGATATGGATTGAAAATAAAGGTAAAAATTAAGTAAAAGAAAACCTAACGACAAAAAGTATCGCGGGGATTCACAGTCGGGGTCTATCAAATTTTTTACGCGCTTGTAGTAGTCTTGCAACTGACAAAAGATGTACGGTTCTGACATTTTTATAGTTAAGTAAAATCCCAACTGACGTCCACCACTATACAATTTATTTTGATCCTTTTTTTTCTTTTGGTATTTCGATAAGCTGTCTCAATACTATTGTATATGTATTTTTCAAATGTCATATTAAAAAGCTTTGATTATTTTAGCTAATTACTTATATAATACTTAATATGAAATGAACGATTTTATTATATTGATTTGTTTGGCATAGTTCAAAAAACTGACTTCTATTCTTTAGTAAAACTCTTTATTATCATGTGCATTCCAAAAAGATGTATCGAATATTAAAGTTAGTATTATGTTTTAAATATACGGCAAAATTGTAATAATCATTTGATTGTGAATGCTGAATGACTACGTTCAATTAAACATGAAATTAATTGTGAATATTCATTCATTTTATAATACTTCAATGCACATCATATTAAATTAGTATTGTTCTTATGAGATTAAAAGCAAAATATGTCTTGGATGAACTAATGAGACTTTATTAATATTTATGGTTCTTAACAAAAGTTTTATTTTTAATTATAGTAAATCATAATATTTTGTAAAAAAAATCGAATATTAACTACTCTATATTACGCCATTTTAAATTGTAACTAATATACTTAACAAATAATTATTTAAATTTTATTTAATATAATTAAATGTATTTATTCATTTTTTATCTGTTTACAATGATCGAATAATAACTTTTATTCCTAATTGAGATTTGAAAAAAATTTCGCATCATATAGCTAAAATTGAATTATTATAATATCAACTCAAATTGTTATTTTTAACTTGTTTCCAAGTATTCATTTCGTTACTATTTTCTCATAAGTAATTTAAATGAAACTAACAGTAAAACTATTTATTACGAAATCTCGAAAAAAAAAATACTATACTGCTCTTAGCTTTTCGTTATAGATTTTTTTCTTTTGAAAGAAAAAAATGCTTCAATGACCAGAATTTTAATCGTCGCAGTGTAAACTTTAACGCACTTCAACGAATTGAAATGAAATACATGTTTACTTTAGTTGCGGCTGTAATTATAGTTTCCTTTGCTAATGAAAAATACCATGACTTTCTTTCAAAGATTGGCATATATATAAAAGAGTGTCTGTGACTATAAAAAAACTTTTACGGAAAATAAAATTCTAAGAAAAAGTAAATAAAGTAGGTAGGTAACTTAAAATGAAAATATTATTTTATATTTTTAATACAATTTCTTTAAAAAAAAAAAAAAACATTTTATTTAGAAAAAATACTTTGTGTTAAGAACTTAAATTACTCCTCTATAGCTGAATCGAATTTCAGTTCATTGTGAATATCAAATGAATTTGTAAATAGTTTAAACGTTCCTGAAATTTGAGATATGAAAAAAACTAATTCTCATAAAACATCACTGCTTGAAAACCTAAAGATTCTAAAACAATATTTCATTATTTTATGAGAAATCATTTTTTAAATTTAAATGTTCATAATTTTAAAGGTAGCTAGAACTTTTTGATTGTTTATAACTCATAAGTAAAATTATTCAAATAAAATTACACAAAATATATTGTGTAATATAATTAAAAAATATATACAAAAAGTAGTTGTTCAAATAATTGTTAGTTAGAATCATTTAGTTCTCTAGCGTCGACTTCAAAAATAAATACAATGGAGTATAAAAAACATTCGATAGATACTATTTAACTGAATTACTCGATTTCGTTTTTATCAAATGTTAGTAGGAAAAAACGAGTTATCTTTAAAAAACAGTCAAGAGTGGTGGAGATTTAGAAATATCATAAGTTGGTAAAGACCACAGGAATGTGAGTAGATATATAAAAAACCATAAGAGATCACAGGAATGTACTTACAGGCGACAAATAATACCAAAACTTTGGTTATGAGTTTTGGTACCTCACACATAACATGCACAAGCGACGTTTTATTTCCAAACATATGTATTTTTCGGTATACGTCAAGTTTTTTCATTATCAACTTGTTTGCATTTAATTCTCCATGTTTGTTCAAAATCTAAAATCCAATTACTGTTATTCTTCTCTCATACCTAATCAAATGAAAAAATCGTATTGTCGACAGCTTTCTTGATTTTACGTCCAATGCATACGCTGAAACTCAATTACACAACCAATTATAATTGTCCTCTAGCTAATAAAATAGTCCTAACACGAAAACTTTTATAAAAATATTTTTAATCGTGATAAAATTTTTCAGTGGATTTATTTGTAATACTTTTGCATTGTTCGTTTCAGTTTTGACGTGGAAAATGGAGCTGGTACGAGTCCCGGAAGGTCACCTCTGGATGGAGGAGGGACATCTCCGTCCGCTGGTTTGGTGCTACAAAATTTACCGCAACGCCGAGAATCATTCCTTTATAGGTCTGATTCGGATTTTGAAGTTTCGCCCAAATCCATGTCCAGAAACTCGTCCATAGCAAGCGAAAGGTAATAACTAAAAATAATTAAAAAACCACTTATTCACGGTAAATTCGAGATACACAATATAGCCATCATTTTATTCAATTGAAATTGATTTATCTCATACATACTACACAACAATAATAATTTTTTGAAAAACAAAAAATGGCATAGTACTATGAAATTTGGTATTAAAAACTTTTAAGTAATCAAATATTTATCATAAACCCTTTGTATTATTATAATACATTAAAAACTATTATCGTCTCTAAATATTAGCCAAAATCATGAAAATAACAAACATGTCATCAGTTATGGTTTTCAATTTTCTTTATTCAAATAACAACACTTAACCGCTCCCTACTAAACTCCTAGATTACTTTTAAACTTGAACTTCTTAAACTTGTCTCTATCTAACGGATGAATAGTATTAGTATTTAAAGTCATTAGCTAGATGTCTCTGGTAGCTAAAAGAGATATAATCGATATTAACGCAAGCGCTTTCCTATAAAGGTCGATGAACGTTTATGTTCAATACTAAATCTTAAAATCTCTTCTGAACAGTTTTTACTCAAATTACCTTAATGGAAGATTTGCATATAGTTTATTCAAGTAGATTTAAAAAATATAAATAAATGTATATATAAATTCCACGGATCGTGTTAAAACACTGAATCACTTTTATGGCATTGAAAATATACATAACAACGAAATATTTAAAAGTAAATTCCTGACAAATTTTGTTTTTAATTTTAATAACATTTATGAAAACTGTAACTTACAATTAGATTTCTGGAAATCGATTATATTATTTTCCTTTGAAATTTTTAAATCAATTATATCCAGGTTTAAAAAGAAACAAAGATATTAGGTTAATTTAATACTAAACCATTAATCTTTCATGATACAGTATTGTAGTTAAATCAAAATTATGTTACTTCACGTAAATTGTGAGACTTCCAAAGGAATTAGGTTGCAACTTTTATATTATTTTAAACGCCAACTTTTGTCAAGAAAACGAATAATTTCAATATTTTATTAACTATAGTATTTTTTTTTTTTGAACTATTTTAAAATGCAGGGATTAAAAAAATATATGTTGTACATATTTTGTTATTTATATTGTAAATAATATTTTAAATTATGTTATTCATAAATAAACCAATTATTTTTTAAATGGTTTTTATGTAACATATTCAAATACTTGTGGATCGCTAAATAATATTTTTAAGCATTCAATGACAGCACATAAAGTTTTTTTTGCTTTCACTGCTTGATTTAATCAATTTTATATTAAAGCGATATTGCTTTAAAATTTTGTAAATATAATATATACTTTCATTAAGACTCTCAATTTCAATCATCAATATAGCTTCTTAGAAAAACTATTGAAAGCTTATTCTATTTTCATATTTTAATTTTTGAAATTTAGTAATAAAAAAAAAACGACATTTTTGTATTTCCGCTACTGTAAAATACGTTTAAGCTCTTAACACTTATTTAATACTTCATAGATAATTAAAATTGTTTGAATCGAAATACATGTGAAACAACTATTATTAAGCATTTATATATTTCAAAAGTAAAGTAGCAAAACAATAAAGAAATCCAAGATTTCCGATTGTTAACTATATAAATATAAGAATTAATTTATATTCAATTAAATTATTTCTAAGAGTTAGCATCTTTTATTTTAAAATATAATAATTACTAAAACCTAAATTATAACTAATATATAGATAAACTTTACATGGATAGATTTAAAATATTATTAACTACCTTAATAACGATCGGTTATATTACAAACTACATATTTTACATCTTTTATGTGTTAAGTAGCAACGGTCATTTGTTTACTTAACAAAGGAAAGTTATTTCACGGTTTTTTTCTTTTACTGATTATTACATTCAACAAAATCCGATTTAGACATCATCCAAAATAGTATGCTAATTATGTCTATAAACTAAATATTAGATTCAATCGTGAAACTATATCGCAATAATTACTCAAATAGAAACTTAAATTAAAAAATGATAATATTGTCGCTTTGTAAAAAATTTAACTCTATGACTAAACAATATATATTTCTATTTATTTTCTAACCATAACATTTTTTTTTTTTGCGTTATGTATTTTGTAATATTTATTAAAAGACACAATTTATTTTTTTCAAAAATTGATCTGTATTATAAACAGTTAAATAAAAACAAGATGTTGAATTTCAATACAAGATAAGTAAATGTTGATTGATAGAAATATATTTATAGAACCGAAGATTTTTTTTGCAGTATTTTCATCAATAAAATTTTACTTTTTTGTTTTACTTATTTGGCAATATAAAAACTATATAAAATTGCAGGAATCTTAATTCTTTAGTGAATAATAACTTTTGTAGAGGGCAATATTTTCATTTTCTTAAAAAAATAATTTAAATTATTCATTAGTTATTTAATTGATCAAATATTTACCATTTTTTCATACTTGTACATATGAAAATTAATGTTACAAAAAATTCATTGTATGAATTTAGTTCTATAATAATAAAATAATTTTTAATCTATAAATTTGCGTTTTATTTTATGTATAACTTATATTGCGATTTGTATGCATTTAAGCATTTTGTTTAAATCATTTAAAAGTACCCAAGTTGGTGCAAAATTTGTTGTTGAAATATACAGTTGCGTAAAAATCCCCCAACACTGTACCACAGTGAGAACACAAATTAAGAAACAGAAACCAAGTTTCCAAGCCTATTACTAGAAATTTCTATTGACTAATGATTTGTTTGTAATAACTTTACATAATAAATAAATTTATCTAAATTCGGCCTCTATTTAAAAAATGATTATTATTTTTATATAACTAATATCATAATTTGTTTCTCGAAAAAATTCAGTTTGTTTTTTTATTAAATTTATTTATTTATTAAAGGCTTAGTGATTAATATATTGAATAAAGATGTATATTTTTTTAAACGCATTCAAAACTATTTTCAACGTCATTTGTCATGTCGCGGTCATGTTCGTTGACGACACTCGGCGAAATACTGCGCACACAATCAATGTATGCGCATCGCAAAACGTCGAGGTCAATGAAGACAACGTCGCGGTCTCCTATTGAAATTATACAATATCTACAAGGGGATAAGATGATTCAAAAGCATTTTATTTTACAGCCTCATTTTAATTAGTCTATATGTAATAGAATGTATCTTTTATCGTCAACCGCCTAATTAACCGTAATAAAACATTATGTCAATTTTATTTTTGTTTCTATTTTTTTGAATTTATTAATTGTGAAATATTTTTATGTTTATCAAGATAGCAACTTAAGTTTTTAAATGGTAACAAATGTAATTAACCAGCTTCTTTTTAGATTATGATTATAATTAAGAAAATGACTGCTCGATAAAAACTTTTAAACCATCATTTTGGAAGTTATTATAACAATTTTATAGCTAAGCTGTCTGTCGAATGATTCGTTATAATAAAGACAATTGTGATCGCACCTCATCTACAATCTAAATTGAAGTTAAAATAAATATCATTAGATATTGATAAATATAATTTATCTAATAAATAAACTAGTTAATTAGGTATGTTCTCATTGAATATAATTAAATTGTTACCTTTATAAGACAAAAAATATTTTATGATTTCTAAATTCATGTCACTAAAAGAAACCAAAAAAGTATTCACATATTTTATTTTTCTATGAATTAAGTGATTCACAATAAAAGAATCAACCTGAATACTTTTGTTAGGCCTTATACGCAGTAAACAATTTTAACTTAAGTATCATATATATCAATACTCAAGTTCTAGTATGACCTTAAAAAACAATCAAATATTTTTTGACGGCAAAGTAAAAATAAAAGTCTTTTTGTATGAATCTAGTCCAAATTTTTTCACCCTGATTATCTGAAATTTATCATATTTCCATTTAACTTAGTATAATATTTATTTATACCCGACAACGCCATCCCTCGTTTACATGTAAAATAATAAATATTATTATATTATATTAAATCTTTGCTATACATTTTATAGCAATGATATTAACTCAGTGGTATTAGAGACGATTTCTAGTAACTTAAATTTTTGGTTTTTCTTAATGTACTAAAATCATGTTGTACTGATTTTATTTTATTATTTTCCTTAATTCGTTTTTACAGATTAAAAGAGACTGAAGCCATTTTGGAAAGATCAACGTATGTACATATTATACAAATACATTTTTATTATATTGCTAATATTGCAGCCAGTAGTGCTTTTAATAAACTTGATTAAAACCGATTGCTATGTAGAATGCTTATCAATCTGCAAATGCCTAGTTACCATTTGTATTATAGTTCAAATTTATATATACTTTAAAATGCCATTTTTTACGTAGTGTTTTATATTGCTTATGTATAACATAATTAGAAGTATCACGATAAACTATTAATAATTACACTATTTATACAATAAGGCTACAGATCAATAATTTTTTTAATTTTTAATAAAATCGTGGTTCATTTAATGTTTATAAGGTTCGTTAATATTTAGGTTTTGTATAAAATTACGCAAACCTAAGTATAAATATTAAATTATAGATGATATTAAATATAAAACTATAGTTGATTTATATAAAAACTATAAACGTGCTGATGGTATGTAATTATTGTAGCGCACTGTCATTTTTTATGGATTCAAGTACTTCCTCTTAGTTACTACAGTACTTTAGTCATATTTAAAAATTCATCAAGGTAGCTTATCTTACTGGGAATTTTTTTCATTCTTGACAATTGCTTTACGTTAGCTATATGGAATTTTAAAAATAAAATTGATAATTGGCATTTATGTTTTAATACTATACAATTAGTTACTACAATTAGAGAGGTCAACATTTAGATGGTTGTGAAAAACGATCATAAACTATGAAAATTTATTGAGAATATAATATTGTAATTACATTGTTAATTTGATTGCTCTATAATCCCTAACGACAGATGCTTGAAAGTATAACTCAATGAAAACTACCTTTTCAAATATTAGGTATTTAGTAATTTTGTTCCTTTAACACGTGTTAACAAGGACAAGTTTAATATGCATGTACTCTAAAATTGCGTTAGCATAATTCATCTTCAGCAAGAAAATAACATGCTTTGAACTAATTTTTATCCAAACTGTATTATTAATACAAAATTATAGTTAAATATTTCCTGTGTATAAATATATAAAGTAGTAGTAATAAATTATACAACAGAGACTCGTTACACTGGTTTTTAAATGGTTATTCTTACAAAAATATATTAACAAACTTTTAAATACTATAATAATAGTATTTAAAGTTCAAAAGTTGATTCATTGGTGTAAAAGAATCGTTACTTGTTTTCAATATTTATCGTTAAGTTTATCAAAGTTAAATAATTGTTAATTCTATTTTCCGATTCAATAGAAATTGAATAGCTTATTCAATTTCATGGCATTAAATCATGACTATCTTAGCCATGATATTTAAAAAAATATATATTTATCAACTTACAAGCATTTAAATATATTGGGTGATATGATTAACGAGTTGAGAATACTTATACTATTACGGAATGAACCCACTCGCATCACAAACACAGCGGACAAATTGTTTACACTATAGTTTGGGTTTAACCTCTTCACTTTCACAGAATTTTATATTTTTAATACTTATACTTTAAATAAAAACATTCTGATAATTAATCAACAGCTTAGCTTTGATATTTAAAATAACTCATACTGTGTTAGATAAATTTTCTTTGTTTGTCTCAAAAACCAATCAAATTGTTTTTGTTTATATGATTGACTTGATTATATATTCAAAAAAATAATAGTAAATATTATTTTTTCTATTAACTGTTAGTAGTATTTTCTTCGGTAAACTTCTTTGCGCTTTCTTTATCAAAATGTTAAAGTAATTTATGATAATCCCGTAAAAAATATACCTTTCCTTATTCCTTTGTTTTTGGTATAAATTAAAATGTAAATAACTTTTTAAGTTATCTACCATCATAATTTTTTTGTATTTTTATGCTGAGGTAACTATAATTTAAACAATTTTAATCAGTATAATAATAAATAAAACAATTAAGTGTAACGAGAAAATTAATTCATAAATATTTTAGTGGTTAAGAAAAAAAATTGCATTTTAGAATAGTTTAACAATTAGATGAATTCTAGAGATAAAATGGAAACTTAATTAATAAAAATAATTTTATTTATGAGCTTAATCAGTTATTTATTTTAAATTATATGAACATATAGATACATTAAGAACATTTTTTACTTAAAAAGTTTATTATGAAGATAATTTAATATATTCTATTGAGTATTGTATATTTTTATAAAAAAAATGTTGCAAAAATATTAAGAAATAATATTTTATAATTATTATTAATATAGCGACAACATAAATTTGTTGTTGGAAGAACTAATATTTAGTTAGTCCAATTTTTATATCAGATGGAATTACTAAATAAATTCTTTTAGTTGGTTCAGTAATATATTTTAATACTTCTAACTGAATAATTATGTTGTCACTATATTAACCATAATATTAGTTAGCCCAACTATAATGTTTTTCCGTATGTATTATATTTTTATTTTATTTTTTGGGGACAGACATAGTTTTGTAATTTTGACCCAAGTTTGAAATTAATTGTCTACATTGGTTTATAGAAATAATCCACTTCATCATATTTTATCCAATGTCCTTAAAAGTTGAACGTGTTATAATGAATGAGCTTTAGTTTAGGATATTAATAAATCAATTAGGCTTATTATGATACCGACACATAGCATAAGTTATTACCGAACAATGACTCAGAATTCAGTACGGTTATAATGAGGATTATGAAATTTGTATTCATTTGTTTACGTTAATTTGGTAATTCTTTATAACTTTGGTTTTAATTTTATTAATAAATCTACACGAATTTTACTGTGACATTCTAAAAACTTATTTACATCATATATATATATATATATATATATATACAGTTCATTATTTATTATATTATCCTAAGATTTTGTTACATTTGTGAAATATGATCTGTTAATTATATTCAAAATAATTTACTGGCATTCAATTTATATCGATTAAACTATTTTAAATTTTAAATAAAATCTTATGTATGAAATACAACGTGTAAATATTGTCGTTAGCCGTATTTTCTAGTACTCTAGCTATGAAATGTCCACGATGAGGTAATATTTTAATAACCAATTAAAAGTTAACGATAAACTAGTTACAGAGTTTAATCGGTGTTCTATCTAAACTTTATTATATATATATATCAATCGATTGGGTATATTTTATTTTAGTACCTGGACAACGGTGATGGCTTCGAACGCAAAGTACATATAATAAATTAACATTTATTTCCTCTCTTCACCTCTTGTAAATTGGTATTTATACAGAGGCCCACGCTTTTAAAACGTGAGTTACGTTTTTCGTAGACACGCCATTTATTCGAGAAAATATAAACATCATTATCAAACAAGGAAACTCTCAAATTTGAATCGAATAGATAGAGCTGCGATGATACTGCGAGATATACAAAGATAAATGGTCTTACGCTGGACGATCAAAGGAAGATTGAGTATAACATAATGCATCCGATAAAAAAACGCAATTTATTTTCAATATGAGGCAATAAAACTTTTTATATATTTAACAAATGCTACAAAATATACTACAATGTTTAATATAAGCAATACAAATTACACCAGTGTTTTGCGTAACCTTTTGTTAACATTTCTGTACACTTTTACTAAAAATATAATTTGGTAAATTTGATTATTTTGTAGAGATCAAAAATTTTATATTAATACCAATTATCGGTTTTGTTGATTTTGTTAGTTTTTATATCTTCTTCTTCAATATCAATACAATTTGGAGTTACAAGAAAAAGCAACTATAATTTTCCTCTCTCACTAATTATTTTGAAGAGATTTCCCTGACGTTTAAAATACTATATACCATCGACATTTTTGAAACTCATAAGGTAAATGGATGGTGGTCTAGTGATAAGGTTGTCTCTATTGGATTCGGAGTATTAATCTTTCACTGTATATCTTTTTTTACTTGATTTTCGGTACACATTCAATGATCAGTCGTGTCAATTTAAGTAAAGAAAAATAAATAAATAATAGTTTGGAGACACTTATGGATTACTAAAGATACTTAATTTAATTACACAGCTCGACAAATATTGGGTCATGGAATGTTCATGATAAGGTTTTTGACGCTGATTCCGAATATGTCTTTAGTTTTCAAATTTTAATATAATATTCATTAAGATATCGCCTCAATAAAAAAGTTACCAAGAAAAAAGGACCAAACTATGACAGGTAACAATGTGAAGACTTTAATTGGAAATAAAAAAGGCAATAATGTTAACATAAGTAAATGTTTAATTGTCGTTTTTAAACAAATTTGTGTATTTTTATTTAATTTTTTATTGAAGTTCTATTACTTTTTAATGGTTTTACTTTACGATTTTTTTGAGTTAATTAAATATTTGAAATTTTAAAAATTTGCTTTACCACAGTATATTACTACAAAAAAAATACATAGGTCTGTATTTTTTTTTTCTATTAAATTTTACTATGTTTACAGTATTTGAATACAAAAACTAATAGCATAATTGGAATTAGCATCAGAAACATTAAACAAAAATCATAAACATTCTATTACTCAAATTTTGTTGAACTTTGTTATTAGGCTTTACTTATCCAATCTCATTATGTCATATTAAATTAAGAACCTCTTATTGTTTGTCGTCAAGCCAATCAGTATAGTGACACACCAAATAGCAAAACATTTTTGGTATAGTATCATGTATAATTTTCAAAGGCCATAATTTCAAACTTTTATTAAAAAAGTGTCTTATTTAATATTATAATGGTACTTTATCGGATATAAATGGAATATAGTGGATTCACTGTGGTTACATTGAAAACAGATTCATTGTAAAAATGAAACTCCGGATAACGATTTGCATATTACTGTGTAACGGATGTGAACACAAAGATAACGTAACAGTATTAAGTATTCGTTTCACGCATTAGAAATCGCAAATAGGAGTATTCGCAATGAAAATAATAACAGTGAACATCAGTTGACCCATTTAGGAAACATTAATAAATCATAATGTTATGTTAAATGCTTAAATTGTTCGAGACAATAATAGAT